AGTCCTTGATAAATTTTGCTTGCCTTGCTCTTGGTTTATTAGATTTTCTAAGCCAACTTCACAATCTCTTAAATCAACTGCAATTTTGCTTAAAAAGAGAATGTTTGGTAATATTTCTTTTAAATTTCCAGCCTGGTTTCACCCTATAGCTGATGTCGAGTACCTGACTGCAGAATGGCACTATGTTCTTACGCACACATATGTAAAGTGGAAGTGATGGCTACACAGTGAAAAACCAGAAAATGTACTCCAAACTGATAGTGACACTGAGCTGGGAGAGGAGATAGCAACTTCGGTGCTAGCGTTGGTGTCTCTATGTGGTAACCTTGGCTTTCATCCGTAAGGAGGATAATTAATGCTCATGATAATGGGCAGCTCTTGTACATTTCTGGAAATAACTGTGACTCATCTGATTTAAATAGAAAATAGAAATGCATCTTCTGGCTGGGCAACAGGTTGACTAGCAAATTCAGGGCGAGAAACACCTGTGTTCCAGGCATGAACAGTCCTGTGTCTCTGCAGCAGAGCCATCTGTGCCACAGGTTGCTTGCCAGATTTTTCTGCAGAAGGAGTTTATCTATTAGAAGGATGATTCCACAGTGCAGTGTGGATATGTGCCACTTTCAGACAATCCACACAGGAAAGATAATGCTGCCCATTCAGTGGCAGCATCTGTTCTTTGGCATATGTTTTGAATATGATCATTGCTAGTGACTTGCTTCTGAAATATTGGAAGCACCATCATGATTTGAATAGAATTTAAATAGCAGGGTGTTTTTGGGTTCTCTGCTGTGTTACAACAGCAGGTGAACATCACCAATATCTCCATTCTTCCACTAGGTAAGCTGAGGTCTGTAGCTGTTTCCTGACCCCAGCTTTGTGTTGTATCAATGCCAAAGGCAAAAGTAGCAAAAAAGTTTTATGAATCCTGGTTTATTATCTTTTCCATTATAATGGTGCTGTTTTCCTAGAAGTGTATCACACAGATACCATACTGTTAGCATAATCCAACCCAAGCCATTCTATGATCTAATAAATAATACTGGACCTCTGTCCCTTGGGTCCCTTTATTTGGTGAAAATTCAATTGTTTCATCATTTATATTTGCAGATATTTGTGGCAAACAAAACCATTTGATCCTGTAATGTGGCTTCTGGGACAATGCAGACTATCAGCCAGTAACTCCAGTGTGTTTATAAATTCAGATTAAATGAAATTACGTTCTTGTTTTGAAAGGACAAATAAGACTTTGGTTCCCGCTTACTGTGTTTTGGTGTTGAAGAATATAGGGATGTAAGCTATAGAATTTAAGTTTTTAAAACAGCTTTCATGGCCTAAGTAACTTTTCCCCCTTAAAATATGGTAATGTATCTAGATGGGCCTTACATGTGTTCCTTGTACTTTAATAATTTTTACTCCAGTTGGTCAGTTTTTATTCCATTTGTCTGGATGTTGAGTAACTCTTAGTGGGTGAGCATCAGGAACTTTAAAATGAAGGTGTGAAAGTGGAAAGATGTCACTTTATTACTTATATAAAATTAAGCGTATTTGTAGCAGTTCAAATAATCTTGTTGCTTCTTAAATTGGTATTTAAACTGCCAAAACAAAATTCTAACATCTCTGATTAGATTGAATTTAATTTTCCTGATTTAGATATTAAATACAAGCTGTAATTAGTATGTGATTCTCTTATGGAACTTTATTTTTAGGGTAAGCATGTATTTTATTCGTGTTTAAACTATTCTTCAAGTGTTTAGTAATACTTGTATTTTGGCAGTGTCTCAAAAATGGTGTTACAATGACAAATGCATAAAATAGCCTAAATGTCTAAAATTCCATTCCTTTCCAGTTCTGGTATTTTAGAGCTCTAGATGAGACCCAATTTGCTGATTGTGACAGTATGGCTTCTAAGACCAACCCTGTTGAATTATTTCTGTGGACTGTTTCATTATAAGCTATTACATAGCTATTTATTTATCATTTGAAGTATCTTGGTAGTCTGGTGTTGGAGAATGGCTGTCTGGAATACTCTCTGGTCAGTACATCTCTACTGGAGAGAGAGGCAGAGCATTTTCTCTACCATGGAGACCAACCTTTGTTTTCCTTATGCTACTGTTTGTGGCCAAAAATGAGCAGATCAAGGTCTGAATGTCTAAACCTCAGATCTTCTTCACAGGGCTGCTGGACTTCTGCGAAGCTCAGAACAGCAGATATCTTATTTTGCCATAGCCTGAAGTTAAATGCCAAAATCACTTGTGTTTGTCAGAACCTTTAAACCAGAGTATTTTGGACCCCACCACCATCCCAAATCCTGAAATGTGTAGCTTGGTAGCAAGAGGATTCGCTAGGCTTCGAAAAGAGGAAAGCTTGAATTTAGTTTTTGTATAGTTTTTTCCAGCAAAGTCAGCATAAAAATTTATGGCTCAGGTATTTCTACCTTTTCCCTGAAAGCCCATCAGGTCTGGACATTGGAGTATTCCTGCTAGGCTCTTTGTGCTGTGTAGTGTTCATCTGCTGTGGTTACTAGCCAGACGTTAGTTGCAGTATCTTACACATTTACCACCATAGTTCCCACATTAAGTCCACATGTGACATATCCATGATCTTCTCAAAGGTGTATCCCACAGGTGTCTGTCATGTTGCTGATGCTTTGTTGGGGGTTGGGGAGTCACATAATTCTACCCCTGCAGCCCACACCCCCAGACACATTTGCTTTGTATGCAGGACGGAGCACGTCTGAATGCTGGTAGCACTGCTCTCTACAGCAAGCAGCAGGTGTCAGGTCTAGGCAGTTTGGGGGGAAAATTTTATAAGACTTGCTCACAACATTTTTATCTAAAGGAGTTATTTTTTTATTATCATCTTCTCTGGTCTTCAAATTAATCCCAGTTCTTGTAAAAGCTGTCACCAGTTAGTGTACACTTATGTAGCTACTGCAGTCCTGATAAAGTAAAAGTTACATGCTCCACTGTTTTCTGTGGTTCGTTCTCGGATTGCACTGAGCTGTTATCACAGTGTGCCAGCACAGCGTCGCTTGTACCACCTGCAGAATAGACCACCCTAAGGGCCATCTAAGGTCCCTTTCCTGGTAGAGCTTATGGCTGTTTGTGTAACATCTCTTCCAGGGCATAGGGTCTGTCATGCGCAGGCATCCTTCCAGGCTGCTTTCAGTCTGATTTTCCAGCCTTTTACTGTCCTCTCACACCATGTGCAAACCGCATCTAAGGTGATTCCAATAGTATGAACACTCCATATTTACTCATTCCACGTTTAGGATTATATAGAGCCTTCTTCCTGGCCCCCACCATATAAGAAGGGCAGGGAGTAGATGACAGGTGAGGATGACAGATCCCAGAGTAGCCAAGCAGCTGTGAATACCTAATTGGAAACTTTGTCAATTATAAGATGTTTGATGAAGAAAGGTGCGTGATCAGCCTGTGGCCTCCCGTCTGACCATTCCCCTGGAAAATGAGCAATTGAGACAAGAAATTGATAGAGCACTAGGGATGTAGGAGAGAAGCAGAGCAGGAACTGCAATACCCCAGGGATGGGATTGAATACCATGTACCTAGCAAAGACCAGTTTTGGTATTCTAAAAGGAGAAATATTTTTTGGTGATGTTTAACCATAAATGCCCTCTTAAATCTCAGGATCCTTTATTTTCAAAGAAATGTTTCTTTGTAATTCCTTTTTATGTTGGGATATCAGTTTCTTTTTTCTTTTTTTTCTTTTTTTCCTTATAACCAGTGTCTGTGTGTCTCAGTGTCTGTTTTGTTAACTCATCTAAAGCTACATCTTCTTCCTCTAAATGAGATCAGATGGGTGTGCAAGGGGCTGGCATGCCAGCAGGGGTGGATTTTTTTGCTGAATATCATCTGGGACAGCAGGTCTGAGTGACTGCCAGGGAGAGCAGTCACATCAGGGATCTGGTGACTTAGCTCCAGAAAAAAGATTGAGAAACTGCAGTGGTGAGTAGGGGTCAGACAGTGAGGACTCAGTGAGGCAGGAGAACCTGCTCTGACTTATGAAGTCATTGAATAATTTTAAGTTTTAAGCTTAAAGTTTGGATTTTTAGATAAAGCCATTCAAAAGAGCAGGAAAACCAAACTTTTTGTTTGCTTTTGTGGAATTCACTACTGGAAAAGGCTTGGACCAGCTTGAGGTAGCATCAAAATAAATGTGAGAGTATCCATCTATTTCAGTGTGGGAGACATAAAAGATATTACAACCTAGGTGGTGAACACAGCATTTTTCTGATTAATTCTTTCTTTTGAAGTAATTTTTAAAGAAGGATTTACTCAGTGATCCAGAAAGCTCTGCTAGAGCAGTTTGCTATGGAAGAACACGTTAAATTCAGCCATCAGCGGCAGTATTGGATGAGAGCAGGCAGTACCATTGCAACTCTACGTCTGGACTTAGATTTGGTTTTGAAGGAAATAAATAGCTGTGCAATTCAGGAAAAAATTCAGACTTTTTGATGAATGAACAGCCCAGGCTTCACTCAGATACGTTAACCTACACAGCATTGTAGTGGATAACATTGTTTTCTTTTTGCGGGACTCAAAATTATCTGCTTCCCAACATTTTCCCCCTTGGTTGCCCTCTGACAACCCTCATTCAAAGGAAGCATTGTGTGTTACAGCCATCACAGCTTCACTGCTCTTTATGGATGTTAGTGTACAAGTCCTTTTAGAAAAATGAGGAACAAGTGTGATGATTGAATGACCAAATCAGGAAAGTTGCTAGAAATATTTGTAAGCTTGTTTTCTAGTGGTTCTTGTGGACTGTATCTTATGTGCAGCCATTTTTCCTCCTGTGTTAGTACTTTATTTAATGCTATGAGCTTAGCTCAGGAAGAGCTCCAATGAATATTAAGTGACAGCCCATAGGGGTCTACCTAACACTGAACAAAACACTTCTGTGATATGAATTGAACAGTTATTTGTGTCTTATTTCCCCACTTACTAATTAACACCTGGTTCGTCTTTTGATTTACTTAGATATCCGTGGAATACAAGAGTTTTTGGACAAAGTGTCTCAACAGGGAATGGATGTAGCTTTGCAGAAAGTAGAAAACAACATCAATAAAATGATCACGGGGCTCTTTGCGACTATCTACAGGGATACTCTGAGACGAGCTATTCTTGTGATGAACCCCTTGACAGCCAAATCATTCATAACAGAGGTATGTGTTTATCACTGGTAAGTTCTTGTTTTGTTGACCAAGACTGCAGCTGTTCGTCAAAAGATTCAGTTTATTTAACTTCATAACAACAGGCAAACAAACAAAAAAATCGAAACCCCAACTGAGAACATAAATGTTTAGTCTTCAAAGATCATCATGCAAGGATGTGTTTTCATGGTCGTAAATGTGCATACGGAACAGTATAACTACATTCCACATGAGCAAAAACACTTAGGCAAGAGTGCAGTAGAATTAGCCTTCAAACTTCGGTTTGAAGCTCATGGAAATTGTATTGCTATTTCCTTGCTTATTGTGTCCCTCACTAAAAAAATCTTTATGCCTGACAATTTTATTATTATTTAGATATATATGATGTGTATTTGTGGATAAAACATGTTAAACTGATTGGCATTTCATTCTTCATGCAAAACAATGTTTGATATGATCTGTTATGTATCACCAAATAGTACTAAGGTAGTGAAATTTATGAAAGATAGGATCTGAATGAAGAATTCAACATAATAGACTAAAGTTGTGCTTATGTATTTAAATAAAAACTGAAATCCATACGGACAGAATTTTGTGAAAGCTCTTCAGAATTTAGAGGTGGAAGGCTTGCATATCACATCTGACTATGACTTGTATAGTTATTGTAAATGAGTGGCATGATTCTTTTTACATAGCACTGTGCTGTTTCACAGGTGGTTTTTTCAGTATGTATATTCTTAATCATCAGCCGATGGTTAATTTTTTTTTTTTCTCTTCCATAGAAATGCACTTTCTTTCTACAAAAATTTCTCTTAGGAACTATATGTACCTTGTATTACTTTTCTTTTATAATTTCCTATTGCCTAGGTCTTCAGAAATCAAGGCTTATAAACTAACTCTGCATATTTACTAGTCAAGTGAATACCTTTTAGGAACACCAGTTAAAGGATTTTTTTGGCTACTCATTCTGCAGTCCTCATTACACGCTGAAGCTGGCTAATTCTGAGTAATGAGTTTGCTGCTCTATCCAAATGTCTGCAGTGCTTTATAAGATGTAAACAATTTGTGGGCAGACTTCGGTGATTCTGCATGGTTTTCATCACCCAAGCCTCAGATGTTTTATTTTTTCAGAAAGTGTCATTCAAAGATTTCACATTTCAACCTGAAAGCAGCAGGTTGAACAACACTACTACACTCTAACTACAATAAGTCAGCAAGACAAAATTCCTGTATTGTTCCTAAAGAGAAACACTCTTTTCAAAGATACTATACTCAGGTGTGTAAAAACAAATTATAAAAAAAGTGTAACAGAGTCATTGTCATCTTTTGAGGTTGCCATGTATGTGTTCTCAAGAAAGCAAACAGTTTATTTTAGAGTTCTCACTTGGGCATTGTCCATTCAAAACAAAATAAAAAAAAGAACCCCAAACCAAAAAAAAAAAAACCCAACAAAAATTGCATCTCCAAACCCAAACATTTAAAAAAAAATCAACAACACACAACTCCTAATGTTTTTCCTTTCCTGTAGACTGTAGGACTACCAAGAAAGATCATTATCATCTTTTGTGACGTGGGGTTCAAGGAGTCTCACTTTAGATGCTATGTTAGAAGTTTTGCCAGTGTAAGTGCATTTATCATAGAATCACAGAGCATTTGGGTTGGAAGGGACCTTAAAGATCACCTAGTTCCAACCCCCCTGCCATGGACAGGGACACCCTCCACTAGGCCAGGTTGCTCAAAACCTCATCCAGCCTGGCCTTGAACACATCCAGGGATGGAGCATCCACAGCTCCTCTGGGCAACCTGTTCCAGTACCTCCCCACCCTCTCTGAGAAGAATTTCTTCCTGATACCTAATCTAAACCTCCTCGCTTTCAATTTAAACACACTACCCCTTGTCTTGTCACTACAGGCCCTTGTAAAAATTTCCTCCTCAGCTTCCTTGTAGGCCCCTTCAGGTACTGGAAGGTGCTATAAGGTCTCCCCTGAGCCTTCTCTTCTCCAGGCTGAACAAGCCCAACTCTCTCAGCCTTTCATCATGAGAGAGGTGTTCCAGCCCTATGAACATCTCCATGGCCTCCTCTGGACTTGCTCCAAGTGGTTGATATACTTCTTATGTTGAGGGCTCCAGAGCTGGATGCAGTATCCCAGATGGGGTCTCACAAGAGCAGAGTAGAGGGGGAGAATCACCTCTCTGGACTTGCTGGCTACAATTCTCTTCATACAGCCCCGGATACAGTTGGCTTTCTGGGCTGCCAGTGCACACTGCTGGCTCTTGTTCAGCTTTTCATCCACCAGTACCCCCAAGACCTTCTCCTCAAGGCTGCTCTCTATTCATTCTCCACCCAGCCTGGACTTGTGCTGGGGATTGCCTCAACCCAGGTGCAGTGCAATCCCACTGTCCAAGTTGCTGACAAAGATGTTAAACAGCACCAGTCCCAACACCGATCCCTGTGGAGCGCCACATGTCACTGTTCTCCGCTCAGTCATTGAGCTGTTGACCACAACTCTGAGAGTGTTGCCATCAAGACAATTTTATATCCACTAAGTAGTCCATGCTTTCCAATCTAGAGGCAAGGATGTTGTGCGGGATGGTGTAGAATGCTTTGCGGAAATCCAGGTACATGACATCAGTTGCCCATCCTTTATCCACCAAGGTCGTGACCCCACCATAGAAAGCCACTCTATTTGTCAGGCATGATCTGCCCTTGGTGAAGCCATGTTGGCTGTCACCAATCACCTCACTCTCCATGTGCCTCAGCATGGTTTCCAGGAGGATCTGCTCCATGATTTTGCCAAGCACACAGGTGAGACTGACTGGCCTGTAGTTCCTTGGATCCTCTTTTTTTCCCTTTTTAAAGATGGGGGTTATGTTTCCCCCTTTTCCAGTCAGTGGGAACTTCACCAGACCACCATGACTTCTTGAATATGATGGATAGAGGTTTCGCATCCTCATCCGCCAGTTCTTTCAGGACCTGCAGATGTATTCCATCAGGTCCCATGGATTTGTGCACCTTCAGGTTCTTCAGGTGTTCCATAAACAGATCCTGTCTAACCATGGGTGGTTCTCCATTCTCCCAGTCCCTCCCCTTGCCTTTGGTGATTCTGGGGTATGGCTTGTGCCCTTGCCAGTGAAGACTAGGGGGGGGAAAAAAAATCATTGAGTACCTCAGCCTTCTTCGTATCCTCGGAAACCAGCTCTCCCATTTCCTTCTGCAGAGAGCTCACATTTCCCTGATCTTCACTTTTACCCCTATGTACCTCTAGAAGCCCTTCTTGTTGGCCTTGATGTCCCTGGTGAGATTTAATTCTGTCAGGGCTTTAGCTTTCCTAACCTGATCCCTGACTTGTTGCACAACTTCCTTATAATCCTTCCAGGCTATCTGTCCCTGCTTCCACCCTCTGCATGTTTCCTTTTTGCACCTCAGTTTGTCCAGGAGTTGCTGTTCATCCAGGCAGGCCTCCTGGAGTTTTTCCCAAACTTCCTCTTCATTGGGAAACATTGCTCCTGAGTTTGGAGGAGAAGGTCCTTGAAGAAGGACCAGCTTTCTTGGGCCACTTTTCCCTCCAGGGCTTCATCCCATGGAACCTTGCCAATCAGTTCCCGAAAGAGACCAAAGTTTCCTCTCCTGAAATCCAGGGTAGTGAGTTTGCTGCGCAGCTTCCTTGCCTTCGTAAGGGTCTCGAACTCCACCATTTCATGGTTGCTGCAGTCAAGGCTGCCCTTGAGCTTCACGTTCCCCACCAGCCCCTCCCTGTTGGTGAGAACAAGGTCCTGCATGGCATCCCTCTTCATTGGCTCCTCTATCCCTTGGAGAAGGGAGTTGTCATGTACACATTCTATGAACTTCATGGCCTGCTTGTGCCCTGCCATGTTGTCCCTCCAACAGGTATTGAGACCTGTTTGTGAACCAGAGTTTGTGACCGTGAGGCTGTTACTATAGGCCTGTAGAGGGCCTCATCCACTCCTTTGTCCTGGCCAGGTGGCCTGTAGCAAACTTCTACTACAGTATCACCTCTTTCTGCCCTCCCTATAATCCTGACCCATAAGGTCTTGGTCAGCTCCTCATCCATTTGTTTGCTTGCACTGGGCTGCTCGCACTCCCCAGGGGCTACCCCTGCCCATGAGGGGATTGGCTGCCATCACTGCTGTCCCAGCACACGTTGAGGTAGTGCTGCTGCTTGTCAGAGCTCACTCTTCCGACTCGGGGCGGGGGGCCAGGGGTTCTCCCTCTCTGCCCCCTGCGCTTGTGCTTGCTTTGTGGATTTTGCCATGGTTTTGTCACTTCAGGAAGGGTCCTCTGACTTGATCCTCACTTTCAGAGCCCTTCACCTCGGTGACTGCATTATTTGGGTTATGATGTGGGACTGATAATACTGACAGTGGAAGCCTCTCAATAGGAAGAATTACTCAAACAGAAGTATGATTGCTGCTCAGTGTTATTTCTGTTGGGGACAAGGGGGGAAATGAACTACATGGCAACTATGCTCTGACACTCTGTGTCTGTGCAAGGAGAAATTTGCTGGGATAGCTTTGCTAATGGATATTAAAAGGTGGTGTTTTGCCATTGAACCATCAGCTGTACTGTATGAGCAAACCAGTTACAAAGCCTATGGACTGCAAACGGGTTTAGGTATTCCTAAACAACCCAAATTTGGACATGCTTATCCCAAAGACTGTGCTTTATGTGTGATCAGTTTAACTTCGAATTTGTTTAATATAGTGGATTTTGTATGTAAACATTACAAAGTTAATAAGAAACAAGTGCGTATGTAGACAAGCCCTTGGTTTTTCATTGGCTTTTCTGCTCAGGAGGTGCTTTTGGCTGCCTAGCTGGATTCAGCTGTCAGCCTCTCTCCCCAGACCTCACATAGTTTCTGCTGCCTGATCCCTTCTCAGACGGCTGGTTTGGCTGAACCCCCTCATTGTTTAGCTGAGAAGAGGGTTCATTCACTCTGCACCAGCTGTACTAAGTGTGGGCTTGATTACTATGCAAGTAACAACTTTTCCAG